AGCCCAACACACCCCAATACAGCCCTACAGTCAGACTGCACCCCATTACACCCCAATACACCCCAATACGGCCCTACAGTCAGACTGCACCCCAATACGCCCCAATACGGCCCTACAGTCAGACTGCACCCCATTACAGCCCTAATACACCCCAATACACCCCAATACAGCCCCAATACGGCCCTACAGTCAGACTGCACCCCATTACACCCCAATACACCCCAATACACCCCAATACAGCCCCACTGCACCCCAGCCCCCAGTACAGCCCAGAGACCCCAAGAGTCCCACTGCACCCCAACAGCCCCCCAGAAAACCCCAAAATGGGGCAAAAAAAACCCTAAATATCAAAACCCAACTGGGGTAAAAGAAAATAAAAAGAGATGAAAAATAAACCCCCCAAAATGGTGGAAAATTAAAGGGAAAAAAAAATTGGGGGGAGGGAAGGTGAAAATCCCACAAAAATGGTGAAAATGGGGAAAAAGTGGTGGGAAAAAAGGATGAAAAAAATAAAATGGTGAAAAAAAATGGTGAAAAAAGTTGAAATAGAAACGTCCCAAAATGGTGAAAAAAAATAAAAATGGTAAAAAAAAAAAAATGGGGCAAAAAAATCAAAAAATTTGGAATTCACCAAAAGGGGGGGGGGGGGGAATGGGTAAAAAAAAAAAACAAATTTTGAATTCATCAAAATGGGGGGAAAAAACCCAAATTTGGAATTTACTAAAATGGGGGAAAAGGCCCCAAAATTCGGAAAAAAACCAAATTTTGAGTTCATGGAAATGGGGCAAAAAGGCCCAAAATGGGCCAAAAAAAAACTGAATTGGGGCATTCATCAAAATGAGCCAAAATGGCCCAAAATGGGGCAAAAAAAAAATCAGAATTCTCCAAAATGGGGCAAAAAGCCCCAAAATGGGACAAAATAACCCCAAATTTTGCATTCATGGAAATGGGGGGGAAAAAAAACTGAACTCATCAAAATGGGGCAAAAAGCCCCAAAATTAGGGAAAAAAACCCAAATTCAGAATTCATCAAAAATGGGGGAAAAAAGCCCCAAAATTGGGTAAAAAAAAAAAACAATTATGGAGTTCATCAAAATGGGGCAAAAAGCCCCAAAATGGGGAAAAAACCCAAATTCCAAATTCACCAAAATTGGGGGAAAAAAACCCAAAATCGGGCAAAAGGAAAACAACCAAAAAACCCCAATTTGGAATTCACCAAAATGGGGGGAAAAGCCCCAAAATGGAGCCCCCCCAGCGCCGCCAATTAATTGCAAAGCCCAATTAATTAATTAATTGCAAGCTCCGATTAATCACAAATCTCAACTGATTACACGCAAACCCCAATTAATCGTGAACCCCAATTAATCGTGAACCCCAATTAAGTGCACACAAACCCAGTTACCCACAAACCCCAATTAATTGCAAATCTTAACTAATAATTACACGCGGACCCCAATTAATTACACACAAATCCCACTTAATTGCAAACCCCAATTAATTCCATGCGGAGCCCATCTCTTTGTAGGACCCACTTAATTGCAAACCCCAATTAACTACACACAAACCCATTAATCACACTCGGGCACTGTTTCTTTGCAGGAGCCCAATTAGCTGCAAATCCCAATTATTCGCACTCAAAACCCAATTAACTACATACCCCAATTAATGACACACAAAGCCCATCGCTTTGCAGGACCCCAATTAATTGCAAACCCCAATTAATTGCGCACTGATACCAAATAATGCCATGCAAACCCCAATTAATGACACACAAACCCCAATTAATTGCAACCCCCCAATTGACCCCAAATCCCAATTAATCCCGACCCCCCCATTCCAAACTAATTAATTACAAACCCTTAATTGATCCCTATCACCCATTACTTCCAAGCTCCATTAATTGCTAACCCCCAATTAATCCCAAACTCCCACTGATTGCAATCCCCCAATCAATGCCAGCCCCCAATTAATTCCAGACCCTCATTAATCGCAAACCCCGTTTCATCCCCAGCCCCCCTTAATTGCAAATCCTCATTAATCCCAAACCCCAGTTAGTTCCAAACCCACAATTAATCCCAAAATCACATTAATTGCAACCCCCCAATTAATCCCAAACTGTCATTAATCCCAAATTCCAATTAATTGCAGAGCACGCTTTATTCTAAAGCCCAATTAATGGCAAGCTCCCAATTAATCCCAAAACCCAATTAATCCCAAAGTGCCAATTAATTGCAGACCCCCGTTAATCACAAACCCCACTTCATCCTCCATGCCCATTAATTACAAACCCCCAATTAATCACAGAACCCCATTAACCCCAAACCCCCATTAACACCAAACCCCAATTAATTAATCCCAAACCCCAATTAATTGCAGACCCCAGTTAATCCCAAACCCTCATTAATTGCCGACACTCATTAATCGCAGCCCCCACTTCATCCCAAACCCCCATTAATCGCCAACCCCAATTAATGGCCACTCGTCATTAATTGCTAATCCCACTCTGTCCAAAACCCCCATTAATTGCCGAACCCCATTAATTACCGACCCCCATCCCAAACCCCAATTAACCGCAGCCCCTCATTAATCGCTACCCCGCTTCATCCCAGACCCTCATTAATCGCCAGCCCTCATTAATTACAAACCCCACGTCATCCCAACCCCCGTTAATCACAGACCCTCATTAATTGCCAGCCCTCATTAATCGCTACCCCACTCCATCCCAAACCCGCATTAATCGCAGCCTCCCCCCTTCCTCCTAATGACCCCGCGCTAATGATGACCCCGCGCTAATGATGACCCCGCGCTAATGACGCCCCCGCGCCGACGAGGCCCCCTAACAGGCCTCTCCTTAATGAGGCCCCTTAATGAGCGGCCGCTAATTGCTCCGCGCCGTACCGCAGTGCCGCGCTCACCCACCGCTGCCGCCGCCGCCGCCCTCGCGGCCCCCCCCAGAGCCCCCCCACCGCCCCCCGGCCGGCCGGCCGACCCCGCCCCCCTGCCCCATAGCGGACCCATAGGGAGCCTATAGGGACCCTATAGGGACCCCATAGCCGCCCCATAGCGGACCCACAGGGGGCCTATGGAGACTCCATAGCGGACTTATAGGGAGCCTATAGGGACCCTATAGGGACCCCATAGCGGACCCATAGGGAGCCTATGGGGACCCCATAGCCGCCCCATAGCGGACCCATAGGGAGCCTATAGG